ACTGATGAATCCCATACCAGGACGAAATGGCCGTCCAGTGCTTCCAGGTTTCTAATTGTGGTCTAACAATGATTAATTGATCATTTGAAATGTGTAAAAACACAAACCTCCAAAACTCTGCTCGAAAAAAATTCATGTCACCAACAAAATGTCTTCAATGTTGAAAACTCTTGTTAAAAAACAAATTTCATTAGTGTTTAGTTGCTTTAATTGGCTCGCTTGGAAAATCTGTTCGCATCATTTTTGACATTCAACTAATTTTCTGCTTAGGATACATATATAGATATATATTTGTGTTTTATTTACTGAATAGTAGTTTCGTTCGTAAATCTTTTATTGGCCTTTTTGGTTAACGTCATCAGAATGAACTCTAGATAGAAGTGAGCGCTTAGAATGTCATCAATAGTGAATAAGAACTGATTTTGTTCAATACTGAATTTCATTGGTTATTCCTAAAAGTTCTCTTGCTACAGCTTGCACATTTACCCTTAATTTAGCCTTATAGTCGTTGATAATTTTTTTAATTAGTTAAAAAATACTGAATCAATTCCAATCTCTGATCGGCAACACTATTAGATTGTTTAAATAGGTTTGATCTGATTGTGTATTCTCTTAATCAAAATTCGCACCCATAATTGCCTAGACCCATTAGTATAACTGAAACTGACTAACAATAAGTATTGATTCAAACAAAAGTTAGCAGGGTTAACAGTTCATCTATTGTGATACTTCACACAGTGGGATTATTTTTGTTTTGTATTTAATGTTCAGGATATCTTCTTCCTATATTTCATCTATTGATTTGCATTAGGCTGATGAAGCAGTGTATATTTTTAATGCCTTCTGTTTTTGAGTACAGTTGTCGATATATGCTTAATACATAGCAAGATGACCCGTTTATAGATAAAAAATGAGCATTCAAGTCAGTCAGTAAACAGTAAACTTTTCTGTCGAGTGAATTTTAGCAGCTCAGTTCCACCTAAAATTTGTTGTCATGTTTTAAATCACAATGATATCTTTACAATTAACCAATTCAGCTTAAGGAATGCAGATTTTGTCAAGTCACAAATTTTCCCTTTCATACCATAAAATATTGTACAGTTTTTAAAATGTTAGGATAGATCTTTATGTTACCAAAACCACGTCATTATAAATCAAAACCGTAATTTCATCGATCAAATAGTTAAACCAGAAAATCGGTAGAAATCATTTTTATAAAATTAACCTAATTTACAGTGCACATAATATATTCAGTTAAGTTTGTGTAAGATAAGATTCAACCCGGATAATTTTCATGTTAAAAAAAAACTAACTAATCGAGCAGCATAAATTCAAAATAGTATGGTTAGAAAACTATGAATAATTTAGCATTATTAGTATTAGTAGTAGTAGAAGTAGTAGTAATGGCTACCTAATAGTCTAATTAACCTAGATTAACCTTAAAGCTGTTGTAAATCATTTCCTTTTTTATCCTTAAAATTGTGTTTATGCCTTTTTCTATGTTCATTAGTCAACGCGACCTCCTTAGTATTATCGTGATCTGGTCATGCATAATCTGACTATCGAAAATCAATAAATTAACATATATATATATATATATATATATATATATATATATACATCTATATATGTATATATATACTTGTTAACATTTGACTTGACTGAATAAATAGATTGGAAATATAGAAGGGTAGTAATATAATATGGATAATACATAAGAGATAACGAATTTATATATACACATAATAAATGTGTTTATATGTTAAAATTGAAGTGAATAGACAAAATAAGTTGATGTAAGATAACTAGAAAAAAAGTTTATACTGACACTAACTACCAAGACCATTTTCAACCTTTAAATATTCATGATTACACACACACACACTCACACACATAAATATATGTAAAACTGAAGTAGGATTATTTAATTTATTAATTGGAATCACTAACATCAAGCTAATTATTCTGATATAACAGCAATCAAATTGGAAGAGTGATATGAACAATTTGTGTACGTTTGTATTTGTGAATTTATCAAGCGTAAAAAACAAGAATTCATAAACAGTTTTTTCGGGATATTAGATCCCTGGAACTTACTTGGAAAAGGTTCTAATTTTGTAATTTATTTCTGAAATTTTGAAATTTTTATGTTTTTGCGCATGAGACGCTTCAGCTTGGGAAAATCATTGACTGTCACTGGTTGATGGATTCTTTTTTTTGTAAGCTATTTTTGTGACTCTCCCAGGGATGTTACTATCATAGTATCAATAAGCTTGATATACGTGCTTAGGAACCTCGTATTTTCTGTGTCAGTGTAGAATAAATTCTCTACGCCTTATCAGGACTTCCTGATCTAGTTAGCCAGGGCTGGGACAAATGGATTAGAATAGCCTATCGTGTGACTGTATCGTTGATCTTCGTTCCGTTTACCAAGTAAGTTTAACTCTTAGTAGCATTCAAGCATATCAAAGTTATATCCATTAAAGTGAGTAGCTTAATTCAGCTCCAACACTAACATTCCGTAGTGAGAATCAATCAGTTTTGAGAATCATAGAGCTGTGCACTAATTTCTCAGTCAAATAAATTCATTCACAAGAAAATTTTCATTACATTTCTAGTGATTTTTTCTACTGTATTTTATATTGAGAATTTTTATTTTTAGGTAAATAACTATACCCTTCACATCACTAGACAGTTGTTCAATTTATAAATCATATTCAAAAATTTGTAACGTTCTAGTCTTATTCGTTGATTGTGAAATATATAAATATATATTAGAGACGGTATTGAATAAGACATACTCCTTTAGCTGTTTTTTTCTTTCAATAGCCATGCCTAATCAAGAAACATAAATTAAATTTTGTCTTATTATTGTAACATTTTAAATAATCAATGAGAACTTCACTGTCAAAAATATCTTTAGATATTTCGTAGAGTTTTATATGAATAAGTATTTATGTATTTAATGAGATCCTGCTGGAAAAATATATTCATATTATAAATTTTGTTCTCAGTTTACTAAAATTATTAAAAGGGAGAGTATTGGAAGTAAACAGTAAGTAGCGGAGGAAGTAAAGTGGCTAGCTGTAGAATTTCAGGATACGTATTCCTGCCTGTTAAGGACTTGTCAGCTAAATCTGCCTTTGTCTAAGAGTTGATGTTCACTTCGAGACTCGAAGCCAGTGCCTTACGCTTTAAACACTGTTGTGTTATCCACTTGTCTACTGAGTCCATATAGCCATTGGTTTGTACAATGATTTGAAAAATAATCTTCTCATTGATGTTTCGAAATGTTAATACAAATGAATTGATTTAATTTTGAGTATATTTTATTCAACATTAAATCCCTTGTAAGAATTATTTTTATTTACTAATATTCTTTTGAATATACAATTGCAATGAATTCTAAATATTTTTAATTTGGTTATGCCATTAAAAGTATGATAATATTTCAATGAAAAGACTTTTATTCATTAACTTTATTTAGAAAGATGGACATCTTTTACATATCTGAAATTCATTATCATGAGTGTTACTGCAATGTTTTACTTTTTTTCTCGTTATCTATTCAACAGGAGAACAAGTCGATGTATCTTTCTAACCAACTTTTAATCTCGATTACTATTTTAAATATTTTGGTTAAATAGTTTCAAGGTAGAGTATTCACCTGTTTAAGCACTTAAATTATACAAAACCTATGATCAACGTATTATGAATCAATCAACAAACGTGATATACTCTTTAAAAATTATTGAAAAATACATAACATTAACATATAACGGGAAAATTTCAGAAAACTGAATTAGACATATTGAAAAGTAAATATATTCTTGTATATTTTACGCTTATTGTTTGTTGTACGAATTATCAGTCCAGTTTTCTGCATGTTACAGGAACGAAAGGATTTAGACAACTATCGACCAGTCATTATTTACTTTCTTCTCCCCTGGAGTGCCACATCTTATCAGTGGACATAATATATAAATTTTTATCGTTTCATGCATGACAGTCAAACGTTTTCAACAACTGTTTTATTATACAATTGGACGTTTTGCACTGAACACTGAAAGCAGAAGTGAAATGTTAAAATTTCTCCTAGATTTTTTAAATGAACGCTAAAATAGTATTCAAATAATCAATCAATATTTTCAAATTTTCCGGTTAACAGTGTTTAGAAAGTTGAAAAGCAATTTTTTGTATATTACTACGAGACAGATTTCAATGAACATTTAATTTTGTAACTGTTTGATTTGTTAGACTAGTTCGAGCGTCTTCAGGGAAAAACGTGGTCATGTGATGTAAAACTTGATAAAAAAAATTAAAACAAAAATTCTGAATCAGAAAAAAAGTTTAAGAAATATTTAATTGTCAAACAGACCATTCATGTCGTCAAATGAATTTCACTAAGGAAATACAGACTTTACTAAATACATTGATATTATGCTTTCGCTCATGGGCTGATCAGCTGACCTTGAGATTGCACTTCCCACTAGGAAACTCCTTGACTGTCATTGGTTGATGGATTATTTTTGTACGCTGTTTTTATGGCTCCTTCAAGGGCGTTTCTACGATGTATAAATAAACTCGATTTGTGTGCTTGTGAACTTCGATTTTTCGGGCGGTTGTAGAATACACTTTCTACGCTACCTCAAGACTTCTTCCGCTACTTAGTGAGGCCTTTGAACGCTCGGATTAGAGTAGCCTATCGTGGCACTGGGTCATTTGTCTTCGCTCTCGTTTACCGATTAAGATGAACTTGTAATAGTTTCAAGCATATCAACTGACAAGCACAAAATACTATGAACTCATGTTATGCATATATTGTGGTGACGTTTGTATGCAAATTTTAGCCAAATTATGTCGTTCTACTGAATATTACTGATTGGTCCCACAGATAAACAGCCTATTCTTCAATTATCAGTAAAATTCAATGATTACTGCCTCTTGTTTCTTCAACAATGTTTAATCGAATTTATTTTGTTTCATTTTACCAAAATCAGGTTAATTTAGACTCGAAAACTCGTTTACAAACTGAAGCGGACTTATCGAATCCAACAGTGAATACTTTAGAAAATGCACAAAAACGTATACAAGCTTTAATGGAAAAAGATTCATATCGACGTTTTCTACGTTCAGAAGTCTATTTAACAATGTTGAAAGAAGCTAGAGAAACAGCAAAAGCTGCAGCGACAGCAGCCTTAGCAGCATCACTTCAAGAAGCCAGTGATGAATTAGATGAACCAGTATTTCATTTAGTACATTCAACTACATATACATCACCATTTTCATTTTTAAGTACATTTGGTAGTACATTCAGTGCACAAAATACACCAAGTTTAACTTTACCTGGAGTTGCAGCAGCTGCAGCAAAAGCTGATGCTGGTTTGAATAATATTCAAGATTTACAATTACTAGGTTTATCTACATCAAGACATATGCGTGCAAGTCGACAAAATTATTCAGCTGGTAGTCGATTAGTCACTAATCCTATTATTACTACAACCAGTACTAGTGCTACAGCTTCATCTCCGATTGAAAATATTTCAGATCCTATGCAAAGTAATGTTACTTGTCAAATTGGGCCTACAACAACTAAAGTGACAACATTTACTAGTACTAGTACTAGTACTACTACTACTGCTACTGCTACTACTACTACTAATTCTTCTATTATCCACTCGTCTCACAGTTTATCCGAAAGTACTGACACCTGTGATATTACAACTAATGTAAATACATGTTCAAATGCTGAAATGAATAATTCTACTGAATAAATTACCTAACCATCTTTTTAAAAGGTTGGAAATTCTTTTAAACTTATTTATTTTATTATTACTGAAGTAAGAAACATTTCATTCATTCAATGACACAGTCATAATATTAGTAATCATAGTTAAACCCAATGAAACCACACATATGACATATACACAACAAACTAGATATGAATTCATCCGAATGTCAAGCATTACATGTTTCAACTTATGTTCTTATTCTCTTATTATTAACATGATTATGGTCAATGACTAAAACTATGATGTTCCCATCTTTTCATTTATCAGCTAAGCGAAAATTGCCATTCTCTTCCTATCTCATCTTCATTATCCCGCTCTTATCAATATCTCTACTCTACCCTGAGAAATATAGATATATATTACAAAAAAACATTGAACTGTTGAATAAACTATTGACAATATGACAAATATGTGTTGGAAGCATCATTAACACTATCGGTTTTTCTGGAGAAACACAAACAAATCAATTGAAACTGAAAACATTCAACCTGATTTTCCCCCCTCTCTCTCTCTGTCAAGTTTTTTGTGATTGTTTATTTGCTCGAAGAGACAAGTTAGTAAATAGCAAAGAAGAACATTTGCTGCTTCATTCAGATTGACATATATTGAGCTTTTTTTCCCATTGTATTTCGTTTTTTTGTGATCATACACTTTTCAAGTTCTTTTGTTTTTTTTTCCTTCTGAAATTTTCATTCCTTTTTACAACTTGCAACTTGTCCTGTTTTCTTTTCATCTTTCCTGGTTGAATTTTTGTTTGATTCCGTTTGTTTTGCCTTTTTTGTGAATTTCTAAAACATTTCATCTCATGTACACTATGCACAACAAATAAGGATAAATACATCTTTTTTCTTTCGGAAATTTTCTTTTTCCCCTCTGTTTGGTTAGGAGAATTCATCACATTTTACCACAACAAAGAACAACAATGAAAAAAAACCCAGCAACAACAACAACACCACCACCAAGAGTCTCATTTATTGAATAGCACAAAAGAAATCAAGAGAAAAAAAAAGAATTCAAATTAATGAAAGACAATTCGAATTTATTTGTACAGATATACAGATTTATTGAATCAAATATTATACATATAAATAAATATATATACACGTATATTATTTATACTATGTATTCATGACACATTGTTCAAGGTAAAAAATAACAACTAATGATGAATACATTCTTTTTTTGTTTTTTTGTTTTGTTTTTTTTTTTGGTGAAAATCATTACACTTTTTTTTTCTCCTGTTCATCCAATATCAACATGAATGTACACGTTTTCGTGTATATTTGAAAATAGATCAGTATCATATTGGAAGGTGTTCTGTTTTAGTTTACGTTGAAGCTTGTTGGCAATCGGAACATTAAGTTAGTAGGATATTTTGGCTTGATTTAACTAAGCCACACTAATGAAAGTGGATTTCATGAAGTGAACTGGAAGGTATAGATGACTATTTTTTTTTTATGTTCTATGACAAGTTATTAAGGTAATTGTTGACTTTAATTGAAGTAAATCATTGAGTATCAACCCAATAGTTCTTAAGATTTATAAATCTCTACAGAGTGCGTAAGTTGCAACTTCGAGAATGCAGAAAACTTGTTTGAGACCTCAACATCTGTACTGTGCCTTCTGATTTCTAATGATTGTTTAATTAAAATCAATCCTTAAAGTGAAAGCTCAAATCTCGCTTTATCTTAACCAAAAACCCCTGGTGAATACAAACGATGTTAAGTGTCTATATGGAATCGTATAACTATCGAATTACATATTAGTTAGTCGTTTAGAATAAATTCAGATCTAAAATATTTTTCGCTTAGAGTTATGGAGATTAGTGTTTTTTGCACATTGAAATCATCATTGTTAGACCACCATTAGAAACCTGGAAGAGCTGGACGGCCGTTTCGTCCCGGTATGGGACTCATCAGTAGTGTGCGTGCACGACCCCCTGCATCTCGCGGGATTTGAACCCGGGACCTTCGATCTTGAGCGCGAAAGCCTAACACTTACTAAAATTTGTAAAAATAAAGACTTTACACTTATCAGCAAAATAATTTTCATCTAAACAAGTTATTATTACTGACAATTTTTTGTTCCTGGTCATCAAGAATATTAAACTCAGGAATTTTTATCACCTTTTAATAATGTTTTATATGGTCAGTAATAACAATATTCAAAATAACTATCAAACACAGAAGCGTTTTTATGATTCACAAACTCATTTTTGAAGGAACATCCACCGTTAAATCCGGTTTCTAACAGTAAAATATTATTGAATTCTTGTGCGTGATTTGAAGCTCAGGTAGACATTTTTCATAATGTCATGTACTCATTGCTTGATTATTTCATTCAAAAAGCTAACAGACTGCAAAACTAATCGAAAATACAATTGATAATCAATCGTACATTACTTCGCCACCAACTTCTTGAGTTATCTGTAGGCGTCAGAATATGTTAGAATGCGACATATGAGTCATTGAAAAAGAGTCTTAACACATCAGTTAGTTTTCCTTTTCATAGAATAAAAATATTTCAGATAACTCTAGTTGTTAAAATAATATTACGTAAGTATTGCGTAAGAACATATTAAGATTAAAAATCAATACACCACTAATAATTCAAAAACGTGGTACACATTTGTATCAGTGCAAGTTGTTGTACTCTTGCATTAAAACAGCGTTATGTACTGACAAATAAGAATATTACAAAAATAAGCTAGAAGTAATAAACTAGTACGATATGTTAGGAATACTGCTCTGTTGGTTTCATAGTTTCTTTCTTTTTTCAAACTTACTTCCTTACTATCCAGCCTGGCTAATGTCTAGTCTTGTCTACCATACACCGATAATGTTTAAAACTCAGTCGTCACTCAGTAGCTCTAAACTACACTGGCAGCAGTTCAAAAACTGTAATAAGCAAACATTTGCAAGATATGTTTGGGAGTTGTGAGTAAACAGAATGTGGAACTCAGTATAGTGAACTACTTTTTGGATGCTAGGATAAGTACTTTCATTTGCTAGTAGTTTCAAGTTATAAATAATAAAACAGATATCTCTGGCTGCGTTAAAATTTTATCAGCCAACTATCTATCATGTTTGATACAACTTTCAAGAAAAGTGGGCTAATTTATTGATCATCTTCTTAGGAAATTGTAGCATCACCCCAAGCTATAAAATGGCTTAAAGTTTACCAGGGTAAATTCCAGGTTATAACAAACTGTTTCTGTACGCTTAAGGTGGGTTTGAATTTACGAATAGCCAAGGCTTACATAAACCTGAAAATTCGTCCTTCAACGTTTCTGTACAATGTTTATGAAGGCTCTCTTGACGTCAATCTTATGCCCTGTCTCCGTTATTCAATATTTTGTGGAACGTCGTGTGACTGTGATATGGGCGAACAAATGAATGTACAATGAGCGTTCCTCCATGCATTCCATGTTTGAGCGACGCAGTAATAGGAAGCCAAATATGGATTAAAAGCGATGAGTTTATTTTATACATTCGTTTATGCAGACAGACATTAGGAGGAGAGGTGGAAAAGAGAAGCAAAGCGGAGAAGGCAAGAGTACCAATTCTATTTGATAAAGCGTGATTCACTCTTTATGGCCAGACATTTGATGAGTAGAGCAAGTAATACATACACATACGCACATATTCATGTAGTCAAGACTATTAGCGAAGATTTTATAGGGCCAAAATAAGTGTGGATAATCACTTGAGCAGAATAAATTATTTGGTCACTCCAAGAGTCAAAACAACCCTCATAGGCACTACAAAGCCCACTTATAGAAATTTGTACACTTATGTCCAAAAAACACTGAAGTGATGTCTGGTTAACGTTAAAAACACTTGGCGAAAAATATGTACTACTTTGAATAGAGTGCAGTGATATATATAAGAGGTGAATATGTGATACAAACACCATACTCAAGTAACATAATGTATGATTATGAGCAAATTGATAAGCGTACCAGAAACTAATATGAATTTATGGCGTGATTCTCTAGGTAATAATGAAATGCCTTTGTATTGGTGATTAAAAATTGCATAAAACTAACTAACCTACTCCTCGAGTAACATAGGCCGCTGACCAGAAATCTCTATATCTGTCCTCCATTATCATTCCCACTTGTTTTTAATTGCTATTCATTCTTTTCACATCTGTCTCCGATTCGCGACGCAATCTGTTCTATGGTCTATTTCTTTTCCTTTGGCCTTGAGGATTCTAAGGGAGGGTTTATGTCGTAACGCAGTTGAGTGATTTCCATAATGTGTGTCCCATCGATACTTAGAGCTTTTTGTTAATTTTTTCCTTAGTATAAGCTCGTTTGTTCTCTCCCACAGTAAGTTGTTGCTGATGGTGTCTGGTGAATGGATCCGCGGTATCTTGCGTAGACATCTGTTAGTAAACACCTGTATCATTTGTATGATGGCATTTGTAGCGATCCAGCTTTCCTCTCCATGCAATAAAACTCTCTTGATGTTCTAAGTGGAAATTTTAAATTTGGTGTTGGGTGACAGTTATCTTGAGTTCAGACGTTCTTCAGTCATGGAAATGTGCCGCTTGTTTTTCTAATCCACACCTTCACGTCTGCATCAGATCCATCTTGTTTAGGAATGATGCTGCCCAGGTATGTGAAGGTTTCCTTATCTTCCAAACCTTTCCGTCAAGTGGGATTTGGTTGATACATGTGTTGTGTTGGAGGATCTTACTTTTTATTTTGTGTATACTGAAGCTTACTATTACAGAGTTTTCTGCTCCAATTAACGTCTTTTGCATTTGTTATTATATGTGAGGAAGAAGAGCTGGATGATCTGAGAAGTTCAAATCATCTAGGTGAATCCAAGCTTTTTACCATAATCCTTGCTTCTTCTGAGATGTTGAGGTCTTCATAATCCAGTCAACCACCAGAACAATGAGAAAGGATGAGAGTGAACAGCCTTGTTTGAAATTGATCTTTATTTGTGATGAATCAGTGAGCTATCATTCATGAACGATTTTGAAGCTTAATACATCATAATAATTCTGTATACTAATGACCATCTTCTCTTGTACACCTTAGTGTCGAATAAGCCTCCATAGTGTCATCTTGTTCACATTGTCAAATGCTTTCTGGTATTCCCTAAAGTTGATGCATAGTGGTGGATTCTATTCAACTGACTATTACAAAATGATCCATATTGTTGCAATTTGATCAGTTCACGATTGATCCTTATGATATCCAGCCTACTGATTTTAAGACTGGGTATCTACGTAACCCTTCACTCAATTTAAAACTCTGTTGGAGAATTTTCGTGGTACTGTTAGTAGTGCGATGTCTGTATAATTCTCACAGTTGTTAAGGTCCACTTCCTTTGGTATCTTGGCCAGGTGTCCTTCTTTCTGATCTGTTAGTAGATATCTTTATTCTCAAGCCTAGCTGAAGAGAGCGTGGAGCATGTTCGAACTTATTGCGATGTATCCGTTCAATGCCTCAGCTGCTATGCAGTATGGTCCTGCTTTACCACTCTTTATCTGTCTGGTGGCCATGCTGACTTCTTCGGTTAATGGTAGGTTAACATCAGTTAACAGATCTGTGGGTGCTGCTCCGATGACTGATGGGGAGCTCTTTTCGAAATGCCCTACTCACCTGTTTTGTTACTCTTGGATGTCAGTAACTGCTTCGCCTTCTTTGTTCTTTACTGGTCGCTGTAGTTTAACATTTTACAGTGAGCTTCTTCGTTGTCTCGTTTGGTTGTCTCATATTTCCTTCTCTTGAAGATTTTTCTTTTGTCGTTGCTAGATCTTCCATATATTTCCAACCATCAACTTTAATGCTTATGTTTACTTGCTTGATTGCTTCTGTAATGTTTTTATTCAGTTGTCCAGTGCTTCTTTGACTTCACTTTCATCTTGGCTACAACCAGGTTGTGATTTGACGCCATGTCAGATCCTGTCTGTGTTCTCACATCTTCCATGGTCCTTCTGGACTTTGTATTAATGGAGATATGGTAACCTTGATCCTACTTAGCGTAGTCGAGTGAAACCCGCTCAGCTTTAATCTTAAAAAAAGTTTTCATAAAATTAATGAGCATCCACAGACGTATAATGAAAGGTGATGTTAAGTGGAACAATGTTTATGATATGACAATACAAAATGACTTCAACTAC